ACCTTACAAATCTGGCTAGACCAGAGGATGTACACTGGTACAGATAGGAACTGGAAACACAGGAATCCAGGGCGGATGTTCCCTTCAGGACCGGTGGTGAGAGTGGCGATACCAGGAGGGTGGGGTAGAAAGGGGGAACCGATTACAAGGATGTACATATAACCTCCTCACTGGGGGATGGACAACAAAAAAAATGGGTGAAGGGAGACATCAGACAATGCAAGATAAGACAAAATAATAATTTGTTATCAGGAGACAGGGGGGAGTGGGGAGGAAGGGGATAAAATGAGGAGCTGATACCAAGGGCTCAAGTAGAAAGCAAGTGTTTTGAGAATGATGGTAACAAATGTACAAATGTGCTTGACACAATGAATGTATGTATGGATTGTGATGAGTTGTACAAGCCCCCAGTAAAATGATTAAAAAAAAGACAGTGCCTTGGCTAAGGCCTTAGACTGAAAACAAAATGAAGCAAAGGAGCCCACCAGCGTCTCAAAGGCGGACGATCTTTTAGGAAAACGAGGGTGATTTTTTCCCCACATGCTTGTGCAGAAGAAAGCTTGGGGCTCGGGGTCAGGTATTGGCTTCGTCAACACAACAGATGCAGGGATGTTACTTGGCTTCTGGTCAGTTACATCCCAAATGCAATTTGTCCTTTTTCCCCAGGAAGACTGCCCAAGAGACTGTTTGTTGGGCAACTTTAAAGTGCATTTAGTTGAACACACAGCGCAGGTCTAGGAACTTCCCAGAGTATGTCCGATGGTAGAGCCCTGGTAGCACGGTGGTTATGCATTGGGCTATTAACCAAAGGTTATTCCGTAAGTAAGGAGCTATTTCAACAGAGAAATGTGTAATCAAGACTCTCCTGCCGCTAATGAAACTTCATGATTCATAAAAGTATGTATTCTCTAATCCTTACCTTGCAAGTCGGCTCTGTGTAAAATACTTTCTGAACAATATTTCATTGAATCCTCACAATTTCATGAGATAGGTGACAGAATCACCATTTATCAGATGAGGAACTGGAGGTTTGGGGAGCTTCAGAAAATTACACAAGGCCTGGTTGGCACTAGCTATACAAACATCCTTTCACTAATTCAAAACAAAAATTCTAACTAGAATGAAGTCAAATGAACTTGAATTTCATTGCATTTTATCTTTGTTTCCCACCTATCCAAGACTTGTGAGTAAAGGGTTAAAGGTAACAAAAAGGAGAATGGTAACTAAGGGATTTATAATCTAGCTAGGAGTTGGAATGTCTTTATTACAATTCTATTGCCCCTTATTTACATATCCTTTTTTATATAATGAAGCCTTGAGTTCTGATGAGGAAAAGTATGATCTTGAGTAAAAATAGACTGGGTAAATATAAATAAAATAAACTAGTTAACTAAACTTTGAATAGTATACACTTTGGAGAAAGATGAAGTATATGACATTATCCAGAATTATTTCTATTTCATTTGTATACAGAAGTCTAAATAGAATTCATAAATAATATATACTGCATTTTAAACTACTTATTTTTTGTCATTAACTTCAATTTCTTGGACTCAGTAAAAATTAAAATGTCAAGTAACTACTATAAACTTATATAGCAAACGTAGTCACTCATATTAGTGGGTTATCATATTTGCTTTAAAAAATGTAATATCTTGTGATTACATTTGAAAATACTGATTACAGATTGCTTACAGCAGGGGTCCTCAAATTTTTTTAACTTCCCAGTTCACTGTCCCTCAGACCCGTTGGAGGGCCGGACTATAGTTTAAAAAAACTATGAACAAATTCCTATGCACACTGCACATATCTTATTTTGAAGTAAAAAAACAAACGGGGCAAAAAAACCCGGTGAGCCGGATAAATGTCCTCAGTGGGCAGCATGTGGCCCGTGGGCCGTAGTTTGAGGACACCTGGTTTACAGCTAAAAAACAAGTAAGGCATTTCATATTGGCTTCTGAATTTACTATCCACTGGCTATCATAGGAGTCATTCTGGAGGGCACAAAGCAAGAATTTGGACTCGATCCCTGGTTTCAGTCTTATTTTTAGAGCCATGAAGATACGAAAGAAATTCTTAATCTGGAGCCTCTTAAAATGGCTAGCATGGTTTTCTTCAGGAAGGAAGCAGGCTGCCAAACTTCAGGACCATGACAGCGTCCATTAAATGTATAACTATTTACATATTTTATTCAAGTTACTTATGTCCCATATTTGATCACTCAGTGTATAAAATAACAATGTTACTGACATCAATGGAATTTCACAGGAAATGGATCGTTAGTAAGCCTTATCAGAAGAAGCATTTCCCTCCTCCTTCAAAATGTTACCAATATCCAAGTATGAATAAACAAAAGGCTACAGATCTTTTTCATGTATTACTTATAGGATGACTATTGTTTTAAAAAGCACAAATTCACGAGCAAGCTTCTTTCTCACCTCTCTGCTCGTTCTTAAAAATGCCGATGGAGAACAATCTTATGATACAGCAAAAGAGCCAAACCCCAGGACACTGCTGTCAAGCCCATCCTGACTCACAGGGATCCTATAGGGCAGAGTAGCAATGCCCCGCAGGGTTTCCCGGCTGTCCATCTTTCCAGAAGCAGACTGCACGTCTTTCTCCCAAGGAGGCCTCACGCGGTCAGCCTTTGGGTTAGCAGCTGAGCATGTAACCACTGTGTCATCAGGGCTCCTATGCTCTATACTATCGCAACTTATAAGTCAAGACAACAAAACAAAAAACCCAAGTGAAACAGGAGATTGGCAGTGAATTTCTAATATAGTCTTACAGAATTTGTAGGTGCATTTCATTAACATTGCTTTGTGTTTTTTTCCTTCTAATACATGACGATTTTATATGCGTAAGAATGGCATTTTATTTTTATGCTCCAACTTTTTGTTCTCCACTAAAGGCTATCACTTGAAACCACTGCAAAGGGGCACAGAAGAAAGGCCTGGTGATCTGCTTCAGTAAAACTGACATCAGAATGGACTGACAGGAGTGGGCTTGGGTTCTTGCTTATCTCTGTAAAGATTCATATTTTCTTTTTTCCCCCATCATTTTATTAAGGGGCTCATACAACTCTTATCACAATCCATACACACACCAATTGTGTAAAGCGCATTTGTACATTCATTGCCCTCATCATTCTCAAAACATTTTCTCTCCACTTAAACCCCCGGCATTAGGTCCTCATTTCATATTTTCTTTTTATCATCTAAGAGTTTTCTTTCAAATAATATCTAAGACATAGAAAAATACTCTTTGAAGAGTTACACTTAACTGGCAGAAAAGGTGAAGGCAGTGAACGCGTTCTTCATGTTTCGAGGTGGCAGGAAACAAAGCAAACCTGCCCCATGAGGCTTCTCGGGTTCTAACAGTCACGGAAGCAGACTGTCCACCTTGCTCCTGCGGGGCAGCTAGTGGGTTTAAACCACCCTTTCCGTTTCCCAGCAGAACACTGACCATTGCGCCACCAAGTCTTCTTGGAAGTGACATAAACCTGTATTTCAAGGGGATTCTAACATCCTTTAGGGGGTGTGAAAATTGTATATAATGTTGCAGGTATTGATTTTAACAGCTGGGCTAATGTTCTATCAGTCTCGTTTTCATTGGATACTTTTATAATACACCAATGGTTTATGTGGTAATGTTGAAACTGATTGATTAAACGGATCTCAACAAATTCTTACTCAAAACTATGCCATCACGTCAATTCCAACTCATAGCGCCCCGATAGGACAGGGTAGAACTTGTGGATTTCAGAGACTGCAAATCTTACAACTCTTGTAACAATCCACTGGGTCAAGCACATTTGTACATTTGGGATCAGCTTTGGTATCAGCTCATTTTTCCCCTCCCTCCTTCACGAACCCTTGATAATTTATAAATTATTATTTTGTCATGTCTTACACAGACCAGTCTCCTTTCACCCACTTTTCTGTTTTCCATCCCCCAGGGAGGGCGTTATATGTAGATCATTGTGATCAGTTTCCCCTTTCTCTCCCACCTTCCCTCCACCCTCCTGGTATCACTACTCTCATTATTGGTCCTGAGGGGTTTATCTGTCCTGGATTCCCTGTGTTTCCAGCTCTTATCTGTTTCTGTGTATATGCTCTGGTCTAGCTGGATTTGTAAGGTAGAATTGGGATCATGATGGGGGTTAGGGAGAGGAAGCATTAAAGAACTAGAAGAAAGTTTGTAAGTTTCATCATAGCTACACTGCACCCTGACTGGCTGGTCTCTACCTCATGACCCTTTTGTAAGGGATGTCCAGTTGCCTACAGATGGACTTAGGGTCTCCACTCCACACTCCCCCTCATTCACAATGATATATTTTGTTCTTTGATGCCGGATACCTGATCCCTTTGACACCTCGTGATCACACAGGCTGGTGTGCTTCTTCTGTGTGGACTTTGATGCTTCTGAGCTTGATGGCCGCTTGTTTATCTCCAAGTCTTTAAGACCCCAGACGCTATGTCTTTTGATAGCTGGGCACCATCCGCTTTCTTCACCACATTTGCTTATGTACCCGCTTTGAGACTGTAAATCTTTATGGAAGCAGATAACTTCGCTTCCCCACCCTGCCTCACTGGTTGTTATTTTGGTGTTAATATTTATAGTCACTGATTTCATGCAGGTGTTTATTATTTTCCTGTTTTTACAATTCCCCAAAGTTAAAGGAAAACATTTACCCTCTTTTGGAGAGATGGCAGGATGAAATTGGGTACAATGCACACAAGATGATGGTGGTAAATTTTATTTCCTTGCCAGAGTTTTGTGGTTTTGTAAATCAAAATGTGTGATTTATACTTTCCTTTAAAATCCTCATGCTGGAGGGTGGGAGGTGAGGACAGGGCAAGCTACTGGGAGGTTTGGAAAAAAGAAAGGAAAAAATGAATCCTCATGTTTGCTAGGCTCTCCTCCCATTCTTGCCCCGATTTAATTCGGTCCTGCCATTAGCTCTGTCCTGACCAAAGTTTGTGGGATCCTTGGCTCTAACCAGAGGCATGGGTTGCACTGGTGAGTCTGCGTGGCCGGCTAGCAGCAAGTCTTGGCAGTTCTCCGCTGCTTCTCGCCCTCCTGGGGGGCCCAAGGTCTCTCTCAGAATATCACTGAAAGGAGTTCCCTTTGTTCGTCCATCAATACATACACGTATTTGTTTCATTCCTGTTCCTCAATCTTTCAAAAACGAATGCAAGCCGAGCGTGGCAGCTTAATAATGCAGGGACCCAGTGCTTGCCGAGGAGTCGCCGGATGGTGCAAACTGTTACAGTGCGGGCAGCTGTAAGGGGAAGGTTGGCAGTTGGCGTTCACCCACAGGAGCCGCGGAAGAAAGGTAAAATGGCTACTCTGAACCCTGCGGAGCACAATTCGGCTCTGACACTGTATCAGGTTTTGATTCCAACCTCGTGAATGACTCCCCGAAGCTGGGCCTTCACTTTCCCCCTGGACTGCAAACAAATACCCCATTCCGGAGCCCCGGCAGCCGGGAGTACCGCGCCACCTCTCTTCCTTCACCCAAGAAAACGTGTCTGGCAAACCGAGACCCCAAACACTCGAGGCTGGTCCTGTCTCAGAGACAGTGCTCGGCTGCGTCCCTCCATACCCGAGGCGCCTTCATGTCCCCAAGCCGAGAGATGCTTCAGGTCGTGGCCTCGGTCTCCCGGACCACGGGAGGGCGGGAGAAAGGAATTCCCTGCGCGCGGCCGCCCACGGCGTCTCAGCTCCGCACCCGCGTCCCTCCCGGAAGCACGGCGAACTACAATTCCCAGCACCGCCGCCGCCGGACTCCCGGAAGCGCGAGTCCCCCAGACTGCACAGCGGAACTACAATTCCCAGCACCGCCGCCGCCGGACTCCCGGAAGCGCGAGTCCCCCAGACTGCACAGCGGAACTACAATTCCCAGCACCGCCGCCGCCGGACTCCCGGAAGCCTGGGTCCGGGGAGGGGAGGAAACCGCGGGGACCCTGCCGACAGGCCGGGGGTTAATTTAGCCCGGAGCAGGGGCGGGAAGGGCTGAGGGGCACCTGTCAATTCGCCACCATGAACGTGGTTTTTGCTGTGAAGCAGTATATTTCCAAAATGATAGAGGACAGCGGCCCTGGCATGAAAATACTTCTCATGGATAAAGAGACGGTGAGTTGGCTTTTCCTTCAGGATTTATGAAGTAAGCCTCCCTCGTTTCCAATAACTGGTCCCATTCCACTGTAGGATTTAGTATTTAATGAAAAATTTTTAAACGAGAGTCAGTTATGTAGGGGAATTGAAAAGTCCCATCAAGCTTGCCCAGTGGATTTTTAGTCTAAAGGACTATAACCACTGTCCACAGAAACAATTGTGTCAAGCAATTTATTGAAATCAAAAATCCTTTTCTAAATGTGTCTATCAAGAAATAATTGAGGTGAGGTAAAGCACATAGATTTTTTTTTGAATGGTCTCATCATTTTCAATCAACGATATATTTTTAAAGTAAAACTGAAATGACAGGTTATTGTTGGTCAAAGACTTAAAAAAACAAAACAATGATTTAAGGGGATGCAAATTTTGGATCATCAGTGTTCAAAGAGAGCTTGTTTTCATTTGGGTACATTGCCTACAGGCTCAGTAAATGTTAATACATTAGGAATATTAGAATTTGTTATCTACCTAAGAATTCATGAATTTTTTTTAAGTCTTAGGTATTGCTGCTTGTTTTTATTGTTCGGAACTAGCCTGGTCTTTTCTTTACAGACTGGAATAGTGAGTATGGTGTACACCCAATCAGAGATTCTTCAGAAGGAAGTGTACCTCTTTGAACGCATTGACTCTCAAAATCGAGAGATTATGAAACACCTGAAGGCAATTTGTTTTCTCCGACCTACAAAGGTACTGTGAACTGGGTGCCAGCCCCCCCCCCTCCCCCCCGCCGGGCAAATGCAAAACACTGCTTTGAAAGCAAGAAGAAAACAAAACAAATTTTAATGTCGTCATTCGTGGCATCATAACTATCCTGATTTTCAGAATTATAACTTTGACTCTTCTCTCTACACCGAGTTCACCCCCTCACCGCCATTCTTTCTTCAATATACCTTTTAAATTCTTTGATACTTCTAGAGCTACTACCCTAAGAAAGACACACACCATTCTCCTTTATTCCATTGCCATTTAATCTTAGATACAGCCATCAGTGTCCTGAATGTGTACACTTTAATTCAGAGCTATGTTCAAGAACTTATAGTGGCTCAATTTTATTTATATGATTAAATCTTAGCCTAACAATCAAACTCCTCTTTGAGCTGGTTGATCTGATTTATGATTCTAACCTTCTTATGTTCCAACTCTTTTCCTCCACTGCACCTCCAGCCAACAAGGCCTTTTTACCCAAGTGACATAGTAACATTCTGGGCTGCTAACTACAAGGTCCACAGTTGGAAATCACTAGCCGCTCTGTGGGAGATGGACTAGGCTTTCCACTCCCATGAACGGATACAGTCTTGGAAACCCACAGGGGAAT